GGACCACCCCGTCTGCCTAAGATTTGTGCCTCCTGCAGCAATCACAGTCAAGCCATTTCCATTTTCGTCTATCAACAGTGATTTACTGTTTGTGGAAGTGTGGGAAAATAGCCTCTCTAAGACAGCCCCCATTTGACCGAAAATCGGTACAAACACATTTAAGTAAATTTTAAAATTTACATCAAAATGTGCATATCCTTTGACCCAGAAATTCCACTCTTAGGAATGTATTGTGAGGAAATAATCATACTTGTATACATATACCAGCTGTTGAGGTGTCTCTCAGAGTGGTTCATCATTGCAAAGAACCTGAAATAATCTAAAAGCCTGTTCTTAGGAGGCGTGAATACATTTGACTCACCTCATCTTCTAATGGAATATTTATGTACTTTTTAAAAATGATTCCAGGGGTTGGGGGAGGAAGGCATGAACAGGTGGAACAGAGAGGATTTTAAGGCAATGAAACTATTCTGTGTGAAACTTTAATGCTGGGTACGTGTCCTTATTTATTTTACCAAACCCATGGAATGCACCACACCAAGAGTCTACCCTAGTGTAAGCTGTGGACTTTGGGTGACAGTGATGTGTCCATATAGGTTCATCAGTTGTCATAGGTGAACCACTCTGGTGAGGTGTGTGGGTAATGGGTAAGACTGCGTGTGTGGGAACAGGCAGTGTATGGAAAATCTCTATACCTTCTGCTTAATTTTGCAGCAAACCTAAACGTGCTCTAAATAATAAAATACTCCTCCAATCATTGGTGAATGATAAAATAAATTGTAAAATCTATTTTTAAAAAGATATCACAACAGAATATTTAATGAGGTTCATCTCATCCTGTTAAATTTGAAAATCAGGACAGAAGATAGCATGTAGCCGGTGTAGTATGATAAAAATTTTATAAATATATGTATACATATTTATCAGATTAAATCACATGCATGTCAATTTTAGTTTATTGCAACCAAATTGTGGGACAAGATTAGTAGTTTCTGTATGGCACTGTACATGGCGGGGGGCCGCCCCCCGGGCCCCAGTTTACTGGCCTCAGAGCCTGTGTGTGTCTGTCTTCCTGAAACTGAAAGAAGGACCTGCATCCCCATTTAGTGCAATCACTCACTGCTCCTGAACACAAGTAGGCGAGTCAATAAGCCAATTGTATGACTGTGTATTTTTACTGCATTGATAGATGGCTGAGACCTAGGAGTGGTGAATTCTCTAGGAAAAAGAAAAGTGACATGCGGGAGAAATGAAGCCAATTAAATGTTTCAGATAACTAAAGTGTAAACCTATAAACATCCATATTTTGGGTATTTTACATGGCAGTCTTTCCAGAATATTTATTTACTAATTTACTGATACCCATTTACTGTATTTATTGTGGCCTTACGCTTTACCAGGCATTGATCTAGGCATCCTTCTCTACCCTCCTAGGCAGAATATACTGAGCATAGTTTAACCTTTGCAGGACCTTTGTAATGAATACCAATTCCAGACTCTGATTTCAAGGGATGTTTGGATGTATAGGATTGGATTTACTTTGTCACTGAGTTCTTACCTGTTCTCCTACTCCCTGGTCTTGTCTCTGTACCCCATATCCCCAAAATGGCTTCTCTGTACCCCCAAGATGGCTTCTCTGTACCCCATACCCCCAAGATGGCTCCTCTGTGCCTCACATCCCAAGATGGCTTGTCTGTACCCCATACCCCCCAGATGGCTTCTCTGTACCTCACACCCCCAAGATGGCTTCTCTGTACCCCGTACTCTCAAGATGGCTTCTCTGTACCCCATATCCCCAAAATGGCTTCTCTGTACCCCCAAGATGGCTTCTCTGTGCCCCATGCCCCCAAGATGGCTTCTCTGTACCTGTACCCCCAAGATGGCTTCTCTGTACCTGTATCCCCAAGATGGCTTCTCTGTACCCCCAAGATGGCTTTTGTGTTCTGCTCCATGTTTCTTCCCTTCTCTCTCAGGGTCTTTGTCTTCTCTGCTGTGAAATTCCTTTAACATCTGTGGGCCTTGCCTTTACCATTTTCTTGCAAACCCCCTGTTGCTTGCTGTTTGCTTCTCCCTCTGACTGTAACTCAGAGGAAATCTGAAGGCTGCCACAAGAAAGACTTAACCCATTGTTTCCCAACTGGGTGCTGGGGTCCAGGGGTCTTAGGTGCATTTGGAGATGTGCAGAGGTGTTTTACTTTGGTTGACAAAGGGGATGGGGTGAGCATATGATGTTGAGTGGGTGGGGCCAAGAGTACTGAAAACCTTGCAGCGAGCTCAAAGCTTGCAAGGAATGGAAAGCACCTGTTCCTCAAAAAAGCTGAGCGGTCTCTGTCCAGTCCAGTTTCTCCTTTTATGATGAGGAATCAGATCCGAATGACTCGTGTGTTCACCAGCAAACCTGCAGTGTCCCAGGCATCCACTTTCCTCGTGACACAGAGGCGGGCGTGATACCCACCCACCAGCCCAGACCAGGACGGATGGCCTAGACAAGAGAAGGCAGATTTGCAGGTGGATAATTCAGTGTCCTGTGGCTCGGAGGACGTCAGGCTGATTCCCATGGGCGTGTTTACCCAAGGGAACACAGCCAGTGCACTGCGGAGCCAGTGCCAGATTGCAGGGCCTGTTTGCCTGAGTGCTGGGCTCTTTGTCCTGCGCTGTATTTCTCCCTACCATAGAAAATGACTAATTGTATTCTCTCAGAAAGACTTCTGTTTAAGTCAAAGAACTAGAAACACCACTAATCATCAGGAAAATGCAAATCAGAACCACAATGAGATATCATGACTGTTAACCAAAAACTCTGGAAACAGCAAGAGTTGATGAGGGTGTAGAAAAAGGGACCCTTGTACACAGTTGGTGGGAATGTAAATTCATACAGCCATTATGGAAAACATTATGGAGGTGCCCAAAAAAGTTAAAAATAGAACTACCATATGATCTCACAGCCCCCCGTTCTGGGTATGTATCCAAAGGAATCGAAATCGGGATGTCAGAGAGATGCCTGCACCCCTGCGTTCACTGCAGAATTATTCACAGTAGTCCAGATAGGGAATCAACCTAAGTGCCCTTCAGTAGCTGAGAAGACAAAGAAAATGTGGTATATAGCAGCTCACACCCATCATCCCAACTTCTCAGGAAGCTGAGGCAGGAGGATCACTGGAGCCATGGTGTTCAAAGCTGCAGTGAGCTGTGATTGCACCACTGCACTCAAGCATGGGTCACAGAGTGACACCTGTCTCTTTAAAAAAAAAAAAAAAAATTTTAAAGAAAAGAGAATTCTATTTCGTCCTTAAACAAGGGGAAACCTTGCCATTTGTGACTATGTGCATGAACCTAGTAGACGTTAGGTTAAGTGAAATAAGCCAGACACAAAACGATGAATGCCACGTGATCACACTTATATGCAGAATCTACAAAAGTCAAACTCATAGAAGCTGGGGCTCCGGAGTGTGAGGGGCATGGGGAGATGTTACTCAGAGGGTACAGAGCTTCATTTCTGCAGGAGGAAGGAGTGCTGGGGACGGGGCGTACATATAGCACAGTAACTGTAGTTAGTAACACCGATTGTTTACCTGAAATGTGATGAGCGCAAGTTTTAAGTGTCCTCACCACCCCCACACATATACACACACACAAATGGTAACTATGAGTAGTGACTGTTGTGTTCATTATTTTCACTCTGGAATTCAGTATATAGTGTCTACTTATATCAAATGATCATGTTATATACCTTGAATATATATCATTTGTATTTGTCAACTGAATATTCTAAAATTTAAAAATAAAATGTAAAATGCCTTTTCTATTTACCCATGTTAAAAAAAAAAGAACTAGAAATCAAATGGCTGAATTTTAGTCTTCCATAGAGAATGAGTAGCGGAGCCTTGATGCATGGACATATACCCGATCAGTACGTGAACTTAGGAAGAGCCTTGAATTAGAAGAACTGCTTTCAAATTGTTGCTTTGCCAATAACCTGTGTAACCTAAGGGGATTCACTGAACATCTGTGGCTCTATTTTCTTATCTGTAAAATGGAAGGTTTTGGTGAGTCTGTCACTTAGGCTGTGCGCTAAGCTGCACTAACAAAGAAGGCCAGAGGTCCACTGGCTGGAGTAGGGTACAGGTTTATTTCCGGGTGGTAGAACACTGGAGATCTGTGGACCCATGCTGTGGATGACTCCACCTTCCTCAACCAAGTCCAGGAAGTTTTTGCCATTGCTATCTTCCAGCCGTCTGGAAGGAGGGAGAGGCTGGAGAGCTCTGGGGTTCTGGAGTGTTCCTTTCACCATGCGTTATCTGGAAGACAGTGTGTCCGTTTGCATCCCGCTGCCTAGGGTATAGTCACCTGCCCACACCAAGATGCAAGGAAGGCTGGAAGTAGAGTCTTTAGGTAGGTGGCCATGTGCCCAGGCAAAACCGAAGTTCTGTTACTAGAAGAAGGGGAGGGCCAGGCACAGTGGCTCACACATGTAATCCCAGCACTTTGGGAGGCCAAGGAGGGCAGATCACGAGGTCAGGAGTTGGAGACCAGCCTGGCCAACATGGTGAAATCCCGTCTCAACTAAAAATACAAAAATTAGCCAAATGTGGTGGCGTGCGCCGGTAGTCCCAGCTACTTGGGAGGCTGAGGCAGGAAAATCACTTGAACCCAGGAAGCAGAGGTTGCAGTGAGCTGAGATTGTGCCATCACAATCCAGCCTGGGCAACAGAGTGGGACTCCATCTAAAATAAAAAAAAAAAATTTTAGAAAGAGGAGATCAGAGATGGTGGATGGCTGAGAGTCTCTCCAGTGAGTCCTTCCGTAACCAAAGTCTCTGAACCTGGAATCCATAATTACTGCCAGCCTTGAGCCATTGCTGATAATTCCCACTGCTGTGTATATTAACAATTATCCAGCTTGTAAGTAGGTTCGAAATCCATGTTCTTTTTCTTTTTGAGACGGAGTCTCACACTGTTGCTAGGCTGGATCGCAATGGTGCGATTCTGCCTCACTGCAACCTCCGCCTCCTGCGTTCAAGCAATTCTCCTGCCTCAGCCTCCCAAGCAGCTGGGATTACAGGCGCCCACCACCACACCCAGCTAATATTTTGTATTTTTAGTAGAGACAGTGTCTCACTATTTTGGTCAAGCTGGTCTTGAACTCCTGATCTCATGATCTGCCCACCTCGGCCTCCCAAAATGCTGGGATTACAGGCATGAGCCACTGTGCCCAGCCCTCAAAATCTATTTTCTAGTAAACTATGTTATAAATCGTAGGTGAGTTTTTAGAATAAACCACAAAGGACTATCTAGGTGGAACTTATCATATAGAGATAATGTTGTATATTCTGTCTCACACATACACACACTTCTTCTTTCTCCTGTTATTAGTAATTTAGCAAAATAAGAATGTTAGGAAAGCGTACTCAAGTACGGTCTTTTATGTGGACTTATTTTTGTTTCTCTTGCGTAAAAATACTTTCTGGGTTTTATGATAAATGTGCGTTTAGCTCTATAAGAAATACAACAATTTCCAAAGTGGGTACATTATTTCACATTTCCGTCAGCAGCATATAAGAGAGAGTTCCAGTTATTTTATATCCGCAGCATAGTCAACTTTTTCGATTTTTGCATTTCCCTGATGACTGAGGTTATACAGGCTACTTGATATATAGGATCTGATGTATTCATCCTTTAATATATAGGCTGTATGTGTTTATAAAGTATCTCTTCAAATGTTTCCTCCATCTTTCAAACTTTGGATATTTGTCTTATTGTTACTGTGTTTTAAGAGTTCTGTAAGTATCCTGGTTGGAAGTGAGCTATCTTAGACAACAGATGTGTTGCAAATATTTTTTACTATTCTGTGCCGTGTTTTTGCATTTTGTAGGTGTCTTTTGAAGGGCAGAAATTTTCATTTTGGTGTGCAGGTGTACTAGCTACAGATTCTCACATCGTTTATTAGTTCCAAAATTATTACATTTTTTTTTTTTTTTTTTTTTTTTTTTTTTTTTTTTTGGGAGACAGAGTCTTGCTCTGTCACCCAGGCTGGAGTGCCAGTGGCGCAATCTCAGCTCACTGCAATCTCCACCTCCCAGGTTTAAGCAATTCCCATGCCTCAGCCTCCAAAGTAGCTGGGACTGCAGGCATGCACCACACCACGCCCAGCTAATTTATTTATTTATTTATTGAGACAGAGTCTCACTTTGTCACCCAGGCTGGAGTGCAGTGGCACGATCTCGGTTCACTGAAACCTCCACCTCCTGGGTTCAAGCAATTCTCCTGCCTAAGCCTTCTGAGTAGCTGGGACTACAGATGCGTGCCACCACGCCTGGCTAATTTTTGTGTTTTTAGTAGAAATGGGGTTTCACCGTGTTAGCCAGGATTGTCTTAATCTTCTGACCTCATAATCTGTCCGCCTTGGCCTTCCAAAGTGCTGGGATTACAGGTATGAGCCACCGTGCCTTGCCCTTTTTATTTATTTATTTTTTTTTTATTTTTTTGACATGGAGTCTCGCTCTGTTACTCAGACTGGAGTACAGTGACACAGTCTCGGCTCACTGCAACCTCTGCCTCCCAAGCTCAAGCAATTCCCCTGCCTCAGCCTCCTAAGTAGCTGGGATTATAGGTGTGCACTACCACATCCAGCTAATTTTTATATTAATAGTAGACACAAGGTTTTGCCATGTTGGTCAGGCTGGTCTTGAACTCCTTACCTCTAGTGAGCTGCTTGCCTCAAATTCCCACAGTGCTGGAACTATAGGAGTGAGCCACCGTGCCTGGCCAGTTTTTGTGTTTTTGGTAGAGGCGGGGATTCACCATGTTGGCCAAGATGGCCTCAAACTCATGGCCTCAAGTGATCTGCCCACCTTGGCCTTCCAAAGTGCTGGGATTACAGGCATGAGCCACCATTCCTGGCCTTGTCTTCATTTTTAAAGTTTATTTTTGCCAAATATACATGTTTATAGTATCTAGAATTCTAGGTTGACAGGCTTTTTATTTCTTTTTAGACCTTGTAAGATACCATCCCACTGTCTTTTGACTTGTATATTTTCTGATGGGAAGTCTGTAGTAATTCTTATCCTTGCTCTTCTGTACCTAGTGGGTATATTTGTTCTCTGGGTGGTTTTAAGGCTTATCCCTGTTTTTTCAGCAGTCTGGTTCCCAAGTACTTTCACACGGGATTTATGTTTATCTTGCTCGGGATTCATTGGCCTTCTTGGATCTGTGAGTTTATCATTTTTGTCAATTTGGGGAAATTTTTGGTCATTATTTCCTCAGGTTTTGTTTGTTGTTTTTCTCTCTCTCCTACTTCTGGAAACTCCTGGTACATACTGCCTGATATTGCCAAAGAAGTTACTGAGCATCTGTTTGTGTTATTGTCTTTACTTTTCAGTCTTTTCTTCTTTGTGGTTAAGTTTAGAATTTCTGTTGCTGTCCTTAAGTTCACTTATCTTTTCTTCTGACTTTTTAGTTTGCAGCTAATCCTGTTCAGTGACTTTTTCATGTTTTTTATCTCTGGAATGTTTACTTGGTTCTTTTTTGTATCATTTTTCTTTTCTTATCATTTTCAAGCTTTACTTTAAACTCTTGACAACGTTTATAAGAGACACCTTAAAGTTCTTTTCTGAGCCAGGCGGCGTCTGCCCACAGTCCAGCTACTCAGGAGGCCAAGGCAGGAATCACTGGAGCCCAAGAATTGGAGGCCAGCCTGGGCAACATAGGTCTCTTAAAAAAAAAAAAAAAAAAAAAAAAAAAAAGTTTTTAATCAAAAGTCCCATTATCTATGTAATATGTGGACCTGTGTTTATGTAATGTTTCTCTTACTTATGGGACAGATGTTTTGTATGTCTAATAATTTTTTATTAAAGGGTGGACATTGTGGATGTCATGTTGTGTGTCTAGCTTCTTTATCTTCCTTCGAAAAGACTTGCCCTTTATTCTGATAGCAAGTGACTTATTTACAGATTTAGTTTCATGTTTGTTTTTACTTTTCAGAGTGCCTTTAGAGTAGTAGCGTCCACTCTTGAGTGGCCTTTCTGAAGCCTCTACTGAATGCCCCTCTGTTCAGTGAGAGCACTCTACCATGGCAGACCCACACTCAGCACCCTCAGCCCTGCGTGAGCTCTGGGCTGGCCAGCTCCCAGCGCCCTGTCCTTTCCAGTCAGTCAGAGCTGCACCCTGTGCGCATACAGCTGCTTAGTGATGGGCAGTGAACCCAAGGGCTCCCACACAAACCCTTTCTCTGCTTAGCTCCCTCTTTTCCAGGTCTCTGGATATAAGAATTATCCAGTTTGTAAGCAGATTCCAAAACCATTTTCTAGTAAATTATGTTATAAATTGTAGCGGGGTTTTTAGAATAAACCACAAAGGACTGCATAGGTGGAATTTATTTTATAGAGAGAACGTCTATTCTTTCTCACACATACACTCTCACACTTTCTCACCTGTCGTTGTTAGTAATTTAGTAAAATAAGAATGTTGGGAAAGCATATTTGAGTACAGTCTCAACCTCCTTGATGTCCCAAACCCTGCTTGGGCCCCCGCACAGTGGTCCAAACAGTGCCATTGTGTTCAAGGGCTCAACTCACGTTTTCCTTCTGTCAGTCACAGTCCTTTCCTGTGTCTGAAGACGGTTGTTAGATTTATTCTGAGCAGTGCCACAGGCGTTAACAATCAAGATGTTGAGTCCAGTCCCGCTTAGCCCGAAATGGGCAGAGCAGAACTTCCTGCTGCTTTTCATTCGTCCGTCGGTTGCGGATATTTGGGCTGTGTCTACCTTTTGGCTAGTGTGAGGAATGCTGTCGTGAACACTCACACAGGCGTCTGTGTCTGCGTGTCCTCACTTACCTGGGATGTGTAGCTCGGTGCGGACCTGCTGGGTTCCATGGCAGCTCCGTTTAACATGCTGAGGAGCCACCAGACTGTTTTCTAAAATGGCCGTTCCATTTTGAATTCCCACCAGTGATGCGATGCGTGAGGGTGCCAGTTTCTCCTCTTCCTTTGTTGTACTGGCCCGAGCATAGAAAGTCAACACCAAGACAAAAGTATGCCAAATTGCAGGGTCCTTATTGCCGGCGGCCACGGAGGACTCTTGTCTCTCCTACCCATGGCCCTGAAAGGAGGGTGTCAAGACCCTTTACACCCGTAAACATCACCCTGGGAGCGAGGGTGAGAGGCGGTGGTGGGTGCGAGGGGGTTCCGGACATTCCAGTGGATTCCTGGGCGAAGATGGGGTGAGGGGCCCCGGACATTCCGAGGGCCAGGGGCCTTTTTGATGTTCTGGTTATTTCTTAAGTGATTCACAAAAGTCAAGATTCGCATTTGTTTACACATTGTCTGGGTACGGTGGCGATTATAGTCCTTAATTACTTCTTCACATTTGGGTTATAGAGAGCAGTTTCAACAGAAAGCCGAGATATGGTTGAGGTATGCAGTTTTATGGGGCTTTTTACCATGTCACACCTCGAGTTCAGGTTTGTGTTTTGGTTACTTGGCGTAGCTTTTTCTCCAGGTGTTCCGTGTTTCCCTGGAGCAGAGGGTAGGGCCTCCAAGAGTGGACAGCCGCGTTCCTGCATAGGCAATGTGGCGGGAAATTCCATGCCGGGTGCGGGGGCCGCAGCCTTGCAGAACGCTACCCCGTGAGCATTTGTGTCCTTAGGTTTCCCAGACGGTAAGGCCCAGACACTTTCAGTCGCTGCTCTGGCTTCTGTCTTGTCTTTCACCATCAAAATCAAGAAAGGACTACTGAGCCTATTCCTGGCAGGACGGGCAGCCAGGCCCCCGACCGCCTGCCCGCTGTGAGAACCAGCCGCCTGCTCCTCCGTCAACATACCTGACCCAGAGCATGGGGTGGCGATCTTCATCGCCAGATCACGAAGAGTCCCAGATTGTGATGTGTTCACGTATCTCCTTCGCGTTCCCTGAACGTTGCCCTGGATAAAGTCAACCTCACTGAACAGCTCGCAGTGTGAAGGAATCATTGGTTCCAGCTGGGTTCCGTCCCTAGGGCAGCAGCACAGCTCTGGAAGCCCCAGGGAAGCCCCTCGCCTCCCACAGTGACCGCTGGAGGAGAGGCCAGGCAGGAGCCTCCATCTCCCTGCTAGCCAC